TTCGTGATTTTTCACCTTGTGATTTTGATATTTGCTTATTTCAGACCAAAATCTTTTCCTATAAATGCAGTTATTGTTTTACAACGTTTATGAAGATACATGTAACACTCCTTCGACAAACAAAATTCGTTATTACATATTTAAATATACACCATAAGCAAAAAATGTACATATCTTGTTGTGTAACAATTTCGTCCACAATTTTGAGGGAAATATTACAGTTTGTGACATACAGTCAACATTAATACGAATTTGTTTTGCTTTTAACGTCATGTTGAACAGAGTGACGGTGGCTGTAATTGTATTCTAAACGATATCGGATTAAAAATGGGGATTCCATAAAACGTCAATCTAAAAAATATTCTACGCTATATATAGATCGCTTTAAAAAATGTTACCATATTCATCCAAATATGAGACTACAATTATTTCCTAATTTATAATCTAAAAATGAGAAATATTCATATAATCGCGGATAAGGCAAAATATTACATTGAAATTTCAGGTTCTCATGGCTTTTGGGTTGTTGCGCAGTGCAATCTGATAAACTTTGACGTTTTAAGGTGCTTGCTGCATCCATCATAAGAACAATAGCCATGATGATTACAGGTAGAAAATTTCTAAAAGTGTGGCAGTAAACTTCTACTAGATTACACGGCGCAACAACCCAGCAGACAGGCATCTTCATACTCGTTTCCTTGAGAACCTGGGATATCACTAACTGAAATCTACGGCGCAGGATCCGTCTTGTAAATTTTATAGTTACTCAGCTGGTCAATAAATCCCCTGCTTTTATGGAACCCGGATATTCATTTCCGTCTTTATAAGAATGTATCATTTTATCCCATCCTGATCCAGTTTAATGCTATTTATCTACGATGAATCTCTCTATTATCTGTCTATTCCTGGGTCTCTCGTGTTAGATAGGTCTCCCATTAAAATGCCGTAGTCTATGTACATCTCATTTCCACCACGCGCGCTGCATGTCCCGCCCCTCCTTATTTTCATCGTGGTTATAATATTTTATAACAATTACAATTATACATTTCCTCGCTGTGTAATTTCTACTCCCGTTACGGCCTCAGGAATGGTTAATAATTATTCTTGCAGCACGATATGAAAGTGACGCGTGGTTAAGTTCGTGTCAATCACGAGGTGTGTTTTCCGCTGTAGCAAGTTGTTCTTATCTAAATGAATCAAGCGCTTTTGTTTACAGTGTCCCTTTCCACTCTGACGCTTAAGTATGCTGCCAGACACTTGCTGGAGCAATGTTTGTTCAAGCGACAGTTATATCCGTGTTCTGAGGAACAGAATGTCTACATCGCACACGTGAAACGAAATTTTTCCTAAATTCTTGAAAGTATAAATGAACACTCTTTATATGTTGGAATTAGTCTTGCGGCTGTCGACATGTTCTGACGCGTACCTATGAAGCAGTTGATGTATCCCGGTCTCACATGCATCCAAAGAAAGAAGCAATGCTTTTGTAACACCTTGTAAAATACTATTTTTTACTGACATTCTGTAGAAATGTTGTTAGCACAGAAGCTTTCCTCCTCCTCTTAACTCATAATGCTTTTTATAACGCTTATTCTCCTTTATAAGGTCCCTTCGCCCTTTTCGCTTTACTTGACTAAAACTACGACACACTGTGTTCCTCTCTAATACCTGATTCCAATCTGCAGTTCCTTTAAAATGACGGATAGTGGGTGTCACACGATAAGCGACGGAGTAGCGCGTATGCGGGTTTAATTTGTCTTTGTCACCAGCTACTGAAGAAAGACACGGACTTACATAAAGTAGTCAGGTGAACTGAGTCACCTCATTTGATAGTGGATGGCAGAGTAGACGGGGTCATCCAATAACTTAATACAGCGAAACCCAATATGAAAAAAATCTCTTAGTTACTTGTGATTTTCATGTAAAATAGGGGCAACTTTCGAATCGCATCAAACCAAAACGTATTTATACCGACAATTTTTATTGTAAACTTTAGACTCTAAACGTCATCAGAATAAGTTTAATCATTTCAGAGATATACACGAACGGACTAACAGTTGTCCAGGCACCATCTTCTCACGACTTATATCGTGCGAAGAATACGCGAAAACGTCTTCATCGTGGTTTATTTCAGTATTCGCAAGAGCCCGTACATAACTCAATAATAAAAGTGATTTAAATTGGCGGCTTTCAGTGACAACCCTCTAGCTCGCCAAGTGTTGACGCACCATCGCTTACCTCTACACTGACCTTACCAGGTTCATTTCTGTGTGCAACAGACAGCTCCTTCTGCGCCCCACCCAATTCCTTGTTGCCATGCGTTTTTTGCGTAACCTGCGTCAAATGAACACAGTCCAGTAACGGCTAGGGCGTGTACGACCGCATGTTTAACTTCGAGACTATTGAATGGATTTGAACTAAATTTGGTACTGGGACTTACAATAACAGATATCGGAAATTGAATTTTGGATCCTATCTGTCTAACAAAATCCTTCGCCTGCAAGAAACCCATGTCGAACCTTTTTCAAAAGCGACTCATTGTACAGACGATTTGTATGTGACATAAAAGTAAACCTCGTTTTCAAGATCTACAGATTTAATTTAAAATATGGTTCCATGTGGTGAATATTTAAGGAAGTGCATGGAAAGTAATTTGTTGTTCTAACGCTTCTGTCTGTCACGTGATTAGCTTTGCAACAACAGATTCGTATCAGCAGTAAATGAAACAGCGGGAAAATATGTGTAAGCCTGCTTTTTTTCACTCTTGTCTAACATAACCTTAATGGACGGCAATATAATCCTTTCGATCTAAACTTAATTTAATTGGCTGACACTTGGATTAATTGACGGAGCTGTTTTAACTAAAATAGCTACTTAAATAATCAGGATTCTTTGTTTTCGAGTATGATTTGGTACGAATCTTCAAATTATGCGTCTATATATTATATGCATACGTATATAGGTAACCATTAGGTAAGTTACCTTTGCAATGTCACTGATCGTTAAGCCTCCGTTATCCTATTGTCAACACCTTTCGCCTTAAATGTCTACTTCAACATTCTCGTCCAACATGAGCACGTGTATCACTTTTGAAGCACAGTTATTGTTTGGTTATCACTGTATTTACATAGTATTTTCACCTTACTACTAGCTGTTTACACAACAAAACACAATACACAAGAATCTCCAACCGCATTGCAGACAGTCGTGTTTATTCTAACAAGGAAGCAGCGACTTCCGAGGATCTGATTCGTCATCTCTTGACCAATCATCATCACAGAGGTTACTTGCACGGTTGTAAATTCAGTGTTACCTGGCTACCTTTCGTATTACTGAAATTGTCTCAAAATAATTTAAAAAATGGTACTACTTTTTATATTTAGTAATCACATCCATATTACTGTAATATTAAATTCACTTTCATGTTTACCGTTATCTTTCACAAATATAACGGAATTTTGATATAATCTAATCGGCCATGCTACTAGAGTTCTTACAAAGATTCTTGGCACTCCTGGTTCATTTTAACCGAATATTTGCCGGTAGAGGGAAACATAGGAAGGTCATTATCATCAAACTATTCTATGTGGGAAATATATTAAGGCACATCTCTTTATATGTAGGGTCATTTGGTTTTCATGCATTATTTGCACAAATTGTGCACGAAGTACACACAGAGAAGGCCGTATTCGTTCTCGATCTCGTTGAGTTCAAAACGTCTCAGAAAATAATTAACAGATATTTGAGGTTCTCACGGCGACGAGTATGAAGATGACTCATCTGGGATGTTGCAGACATTGACCGATGTTTCAGATGAGCTTATTGCCTCCATCATAGAATAAAATAATCCCCGTTTCGATACAGTGTGGTAAGACTGTATGCAGCTCTCTGTAAGGATGGATTTGTAACCGAAGTAAATGACCATCAAGGCCAAGCAGAGGCTCGTATAAATCGCCATAAACGTCAGTCAGGCGGACAACAGACAAATGTGGGCGAAGTTTAACTGGGCTCATCCTGAATACAAGTACACGCAACTTTAAATTTGTGGGTTGTGGTCTCACAATCGACATATTCGCCGCAGTGAGGGCCTCAAATCTCAGAAAATTTAAAATCGCTCCCGAAAGTTGTAAAGGAGAACTTTAAAACTTGTATTTTTAGAGCTTGCAATTTAATAGACAGAGTTAGCAACTTTGGGGGAGGGGGGGGGGACGATTTCCAAGGACACTTTCTTGGGCAAACTAATCATCTGATTTGTTGCTTTCCTTTGCAGTAAAACAAGGGAAATGTTTTACTGTCGGCTGAGGAATAGGAACAAAGGATGGTTCGGTATTATCTCAACTCTAGCTCCAGCAAAAATATTAGCCTACTCAACATTAAGACACGTTGTTTGGATCGATCACTTCTGGCTACTCGGGAAAGCCGTCACAGATAAAACTATCACTTGTCAACTTTAGTAAATGTTGGCTGATACTACGCGTAGTTTGGAAACTCCTCTGCGGTGTTTCAGGATGGTCTGATACCGCACAAGCCAAGCTGTAACAGAATTCCGGAATAAATCCTACAGTAATTCCCGAATTATACCCAATTTGCGACCAGTGGCGTGCTAAAATCCCCAGCGCAGAATGGTGAAAGATAATATACTATTGCGACGAACGAAACGCGGCGTTAGACGGACACGGCCTTTATCAAATACTTGGTACATCTACTCTGATTATTAACATTAAACGCTAGTTTTGGTAGGATATTTCACAATTTATTTGTACATTGTTTCATAATTATCATCAGTATTGCTTTAAAACGTGTTTTCCCGAGTTTCTTGATATCATTTTATATGACTTTGTACCTTAAATTTTGATTATGTTCAATGGTTCAGTTTTAAATTACTTGCAACAAAATTTGCTGTCAACTGAGTCCAGACAGACAGCTATTAATACTGTATTAGATAGTTTAAGAATATGTACGGATTACCATAATGCAAACCAGAACATAAAACACTACAATTGTGTCCAAACCAAAGGTCCAAAAACACGTACAGTATATTAACTTGTAAGTACATATAATACAATACCCATGTACCAAATATTGAAATTGCACTTTACAAAATGTCATGGACTGAATACATTGTAGATATTCCTCAAATTATTTTAATATTACATTATATGGTCTTATACATAAGTACAATTTATAAAAACAGTGTTTACAGAGACTGTTCAGAAAAGGCTTGTTCTTAACTACAGAGCCGGCGGACAATACCGAGGTAACCACAACAAATATTAAAGTACAATTTATCTTTACAAAACGTACATATTTACAATTCATATTTAAAAATTAAGTCATATTCTAAAGTAAGATCCTTCATAGGCAACAGTACGTAAATGAGTAACAAGCCACTTCTGATCACTCTGTAAACTAATACAACAAGACCTCCACGCTGAAGACCTGCGTAGGCCAAATTAAAAAACCGCCTACAATTACGTGTTCACACAGTGGGTTCAAATCAATCTCCAGAGTAGTATGAAACAAAGACCACATCACCTCCGACATTGATAAGACACTGGCCCTAAAATCAAAGAAAAAAAGTAGTTCAGATGTAGAGGACTACATTCTTTTCAAAACGAAAGAGTAAAGGTTAGCTGAAGTCGGGAGAGAGGAAATTTCATTTAAACGAGAAATAATAACAGAAAGAAGAAAGAAAAACAGCAAGGAATAAAGTACACCACATTTTGATTTTTAATAAAGAGTTTTATGTACTCACCAGAACACAGAAATTTCATCTGAACCCAAAAAGAGAAGGAATGAACTAGTTGTAAACCTAATATGACAGCTTCTCCGGCTTCAGACAGAATATTAGTCTGGTAATGAAGTTACTACAAAACTGTTCGTGACAAGTAATCATATACGCTCTCCTTTCTCTGTCAACACAAAATGCTAAAGACTGACAGTGCAACTCATTAACAGTAAACCACAAGAAAATACGAGTAATTTGGATCTTGCATTGAACAAGAAAACATTAACTGCTAAGTAATGGTTGACAGATCTTACACATTTACTTGTTGCGTGAAGCTCCTGAAAGTAAAATTGTCATAAGCCTAAGCACATGAAACCCCTTTAAAAGGTGTCGCTCAGGATCGCAAACAAAACCTAAAATGTTTCGGAGTAAGCAAAAAAATGGAACTGCTAACCGAAAAACAAATTAAAACAGCAGTAGCACAAACACATTTAAAAAAAAGAAGTGACGTGTAGTACAAAATTACATTATCTCATGGGGGGCACACGATATTAAATATACGTCACTGACACTGCATTGTGTAGTTAAGAATTTTCCATGGACTGAAGAAAATCACTAGAGTCCTTGGTCAGTACTGCGGGTATCCACCTAGATTCAAACCCGGGACCTTTCAAAAAAGAAGTAGTACTTACACAGCCATATTCGATAACCTTCAGTGCTGATCTGTAACCCTACTTAGACCCTAAACGAAAAGCGTTCTTCTGTAAATGTAACACCTGATTGCAAAACTGTAATCTTAATTATCGCCGCTGGAAATGAGTAAAATAAAAAGAATAAGTAATTTGAGGGAAATGAGAGATACTAAAACGTGGGCGATGGAAGGATGCGAGAGTCTTGCAGAGGAAGAAATCAAAATGAGGGCGACGATAAGCCTAATAATACAGCCCAAGGCTACAAGAAACTTTCCGCAGTTCGTACTCCTTTTCTTCATAAGAGTTACATTTTAATTTCTGCTACCGCGTTCTATTTGACCGTTCCGCTGTTACCATCACGATGTTACGCATTACTTAACCCTTTAAAATCCAAATGGTGCGCAGCCTTGGCGACAGGGGCTAAATATGGTGGCTTTTGGGGGCGTCACGACGATTGGAGTCTGTTTCCTTCGTGTTCAAGGTCATCCCTATCACTTGGCCCCATATTACAAACCTCATGTTAGGGATGACCTTAAAATTTCACACGAGTGACTAAGGTTTGATAATTTACATTAACTGACAATGAAGCAAATAAAATAATTCATAATCTTTTTATACGGGATTTGTCTTAAAAGCTGTCACGTTTTCAATTATGCGCACAAAGTAGTCTATCTTGTAACTCACTACATTTTACAACATTCATACCAAAGCCAGCACCAAGCATATGGTATATAAGAGTGGATGCAGAAATGACATTTAATTAATGGGAGTCACCAGAGCTGAAGAACCAAAAGTAAGACTTCTTGATTTCAGTATGTCGGTAGGCTAAGAGGGGAACATAGTTGTACTTATGTCCAGTTAGTCAAGAGATTCTGCATATTTTGTGGAACCATAAGGTTTATTACCATGTTAACAAAAGCCTGATTCCAGTCCCTCTCCTGACCCAAATATAATCAATATCTTCAAACTCTATTTCCAGAAGATCAATTTTAATATCAACTTTCCATCTATGCCAAGGTCACCAGAGTGCTCTTCAAACTTTCCAACCAAACATTCCCCCAATTTCGTCTGTTCTTAATTTCCTCACGAATCAAATTAGATCCCATATTTACAGCAATATACCATGTTCAATAATCTGACACGAGAAAGGGCACAAAACATGTATTCCAATTTGGAGTACACGTTTTTCAAATGCATTCCTTATAATTTTGTATATCTGACAATCCTCGATGTTCATTTACTGCAGACACAAATCTACTGTTACAAATATAAAAACATAACCTATAATTAGGGGCCAGTTCATCAGGCAGACAAAAATTGTACTTGCCAGACGTCCTCCACAACAGAAACACGGACAACTGCTGTCAGCAAGTAAGTGATTATTAACTGACCCGCAGAGCAGAAAGGTGAGTCACTATCAGCAGCCATTAACATCTCACACATGTCAACACAGTTGAAGTGAAACGAAGTAATGGATCATTTACACAGTGATAAATACGAACAACCAACAAATTATATTTAACTCTAATCTTTTTCCTATACTCCAGTGTTCAAACATGTCAGAACAGGACAGAGCACTGATGAAAAATCAGATTTTTTTAGTCAGTATTAATTTTTCACCCATCATGTAAGAGTAAACAAATGGGTTTCCTTAGCACTGCCTACAATGCAATAGAGCTGGGATAGCTCAGTCAGTATAGTGACTAGCTACGGACTGGACGACTGGGGTTCGATCCCCGACAGGGGCAGAGAATTTTTCCTCTAGCCTCTGCGTCCAGACCGGCTCTGGGGCCCACCCAGCCTCCTCTACAATGGGTACCGGGATCCTTTCCCGGGGGTAAAGCCGGCCGGGGCGTGATGCTGACCACTCACCCCCATCTAGTGCCGAGGTCAAGGAAGAGAGGAGCTATACCTCCGCTCCACCCAAGTACCTGCATGGCGTATAGTGGGACGCTTTACTTTACAATGCAATAAGTCATATGCTATTTTTCATTTTATTTATTAAATATGTGCCACATGAAAAAAAAAGGTTCAAATAAAAGTCTTACGTCTTAATGAGATCTCATTTTATACTATATACCAACATTTCGTACGCTAAACAATTTTTGAGATTACAGATACAGTCGGACTTCAGCTTCTGTGTATCTGGCAAATTATGTACAGACATGCAAAAATATCCATTTCTCATTTGCACATGTGCATACTGAAAAAGTAAATGAAGCAAGTGACATTCCATGGTCTGGTCACGCTAATGCTGAGCTACAGCCAAATTTAGTCAACTGTGAATTAAATATCAAGATTGGTAGAACTTCCAACACTGCCTGGTAAATAAGAATGCCACCACTTCTCAATGTACTAGAATTTCAAGGTAAGATCAAATTTTAAAACATATTTTATTTGAGAATACAAAATGTTCTTACCTGGTTTTTATGTGGATTATGGTACAGCACACATTCAGACATAAAATATGCTACCATGGCATTTCCTCCCAGAGCAGTTACATGTGCGCGAACAATGGCAAGAACTTCAGTTACAAAACTGTGAACAAAACCACTCAGGCCTCCACCCTAGACAAAAAGGGGGGATGATATAAACATATATTGTATTACAGTTAGGACATAAAATGTTCATTCAGATTTAAGGATCTAAACTTTGGGGAATGAAATCCAGAGCTGTTTCACAAGGACATTTTCTACAAAATCAATTTAATTCTTGCATCTTTCTTCAGCCGGTGCAGTGGCCACACTGTCTGAGGCATGGTCCTCGTGCGCCTGGCCGCTGCGACCGTGGGTTCAAGTCCCACTGAAGGCATGGATGTTTGTCCGCGTCTCCTCTTCCAGTATGGTGGGTAAAGACTGGCCACGGAAGGCAAGGCGAAACCACCGTGGTACTTTCGCAAGAAAACACCGAAAGGAGTCACGATGGTCAAGCTGACCATAGACGATGAAAAAAAAATCTTTCTTCAGGCCTTTGTCAGTATCATGTATGAGCTGATTCTGCAAATGGACTTTTAGTCCAATTTACTTATTATATTCTTTGCACACACCTTTCCAATGTTGTTTTACAGAGGCACATAAATTTACTATGGGATCATATCAGACTATCAGATTTCTAGTAAAGGTATGCACAATTTTCTAAAAGCTATGAAATCTGACTGATCTCCATCTAGAAGATAACGAAAGTCTGCCCCTCCAACCACCCATGACAACAGAGCCACAGTATGACACACAGAAACAAAAATAAAATTTTCTTACCTCTCTAATACAGGTGCTTTCTCTGATGAAGAAGAAATTCAGGTTCCCAAGATAACGTTCAATTTTGCCTCCAGGTATGTAAGACAGAGGAGTCATATCAACTCCATATCGTTCTCTCGGTGGAGTCTAAAAATAATTTATTAACATGGTTGCAAGCATTCAGCATTGAAGAAAACTATGAAATACTCAATACCTGATCAAATAATGAAAAGTGACATTGTCAAACTCCCATTACAAATGCACAAATGCAGACTGCCTGAACTAACTTACATGATGAGGTTTAGACTGAGGAGTTTTTATCCTTTGTGGGGAGCGAGGCCTTGGATGACCAAGCTGCACCTGTATAGGTGCAATTGCAGGATTCTCAGCAACTACATGGTCTTCTTCCAAGTTGAAGATTAATTCACTATCATCTGTCTTTCTAATCGCTTCCTTGCTTGTTGATGGAACAATTACTTTTCTCTTGAACTTGTTGCTTAGCTTTCCTGGTTCTCCAAGTCCTAACGCCATTCCTACAACCAAAAACAATATAATTTGTAAAAACGTTACTTCTAATCTACTTTCCTTATTTTATATCTTTTTAATAACTTATCAAATGACAAATTCTTATGATACTCAATAAAACAACATACTTCTGAGGAAAATCTGGAATTTACAATTTGTAATTTCCTATGGAAGCTGTAAAAGTAAAAATGTATTTAAACACTCCATTTCTTTAAACAATGAAACAAACCAAAGGCAATGCATGATCTAACCTAAGACAAAGATCTGCAATTCATCCGGTTCAGGTAGCTCAATACCAAACTGGAGGTCACAAAGAGCACATGGTATCATACAACGTAACTTGAAGAATACACTCTGCAAACATACAGAAAAAAATATGTATCATAGACAACTGTATTGAAGCAATCTGTAGAAACACACAAAATGACAGAAAAGTGAGAGTACGAACAAAATGATGAAGATAAAGTAAAATTCATTCAGTCTTCAGTCAATCATAAGACTTACCTGTAACAGTCTATTAAAGTGTTTGTTAAATACACTAGTCAGCTGGCCTGCTGGAATCTTAGCTCGCCATACTTGGGTAAACATCTGAAGGTTTCTTACAATTTCTTGCTCATCCAGACCCGGCACAGTTTCAGTGTTTACAACATAAAAACCTTCAGGTGGACGAGGATCTATCAAGAGTGATATTACATCTACATCCTCTGCGTCATCCACCTACAATAAAGAACAATAATTCAGTATTTGGACTCAAAATGAAAAATCCATTTCCTCGTCAATATTTCAGAGTATCGCACACAACAGGAAATGAATACTCCACACTGTTAACACCAAAGCCAGCCATTAGATATAATGCTAAGCCTGTTTCACCCTCCCTTGATTCCATACAACCTAATTCTTGACCCATCACCCAAACAATACTATACTATATCCCACAATATTTTAGAGACAAAGCAAACATCTTGAAGAGGGATAACAGGTCAGAAACACAGACAATTCTCAGCTTAAAAGTACTTACAAGCACTAACAAATAATATAACACATTACTCTTGTTCATTGTTATTAAATATAATGTCAATTTTATTTACATTTTGGATATGTAGCATATAAATAAATATTTTAAAGTATCCACTCAACATGAAGAATCACACCTCTTGTTAGAATGACTTGTGTGCTTCTTGGTGACCTATACTGTTGCAATTAACTTTATCCTCATAAAATTCATTCCAAAAAATTCCATGATAACAAAAAAGTACGAGGTGCGTCCCAAAAGTAAGTTTCCCACTCGTCCCACAGCTAGCAAACCTTATATTGCGTGAAGCGACTGTGCGTAGCATGGCGCATGCACTAACGGTACTTCCCGCGTTCTCACAGTAGCATCGTTGCAGCTGTTGAAGATGGAGGTTCTTATTCCAGCTCCCGCCGACTGTGAAGTGCGGTCAGTGATAACGCTAGGCCGCACACGGCTCGACGG